TATCTTTCTGCCTCTGCATATTCTTCAGAGGTCTATCCAAGCAGATTATGACAGACTTCCCTGTGTGTATCAAATATGCATATTCTGCGTGGGAAGTAGGAGCTCTAGAGGGCAGGAAAAAGCAACTGTCTTCATCTGCACAGCAATACACTTTCATGCTCTAACAGTTCTTCAGAGATCCAATCTGCTTCATTGAAGAAAGAAAATAATCAGCTGTTGGCACGGAAAGGTCTGTGTGCCATGCTTTGAAGAGAGCTGACTGTATGTAGTGCTGCTTCACAGGACGACTCAAGTTGTTGGAACTTTTTTTTTTGAGGTCTCTTGATCCCAGGCAGCAGGACAGGCTGTTAAGGGAGCAGCTCTCTGAAGCACAGAGAGTCCATGTCAGATGTACCAGACTGCTGCTCTAGCATTTTTTTTTCCAAGACTCTCGAGAGGTGGAGTGTTATTTAAGTATTTGTTTAGAAGAATGTGTAGTCCACTCATGCAGGAGAGAGATTCCCATTCCCTTTTTACCATGATACTGTTTTTCTTGTTTACTTTGGTTAGGCTCACAAAATGAAAATCAAAATCTACAGAGAACCTTAACTGCTCAGGGAGTCTGCTGAGAGGAGAATTGGAGACAAATGTTCAGCATGATCTTGCTATTTAAAAAAGTGATTTTTAGTGTCTCATGAATATATAGACTTGAACAGGAGTAGTTAATTTTCCTATTGGTCTGGAAAAAGGGGCAATGTTGAAACATGGATAGATGAGGATGCATGTCAATGTTCAAAAAAAAAAAAAGGCATAAAATGCGTTCCTTTAACTATGTTCTGAGAGTTTTCCATGGCATGGGTTGGGGATGACACTTGCTTACTACTTTAGCTCTTTTAATGCCTTTTTGGGAGAGGAGTGGGAATATGATTAAAAGTAGGAATGGGATTTATAGAACCAAAGTATTTTTTATCATTGGTCACACTGGAGAGTGGATACATCCATTTTGCTATCGCCAGCTTGGCTTGCGGGTGGGAAGTAGAACCTTTCATCTCTCAGTAACTGATGCAGATCTGTGCCAAAAGCGTCTGAGACTTATCAGGGGTTAGATGGACCCTGTGGGTATGGAGACGTTTTGGCTATTGCAGCTAAGGATGCCAACAGATGGCAGCAAAAGAGTCTGCATTTGGGGACAAAATTATGTGCCTACCTTAGAAATCCATGCTCTTGGGTTGGGATTGGGGTAAAATTTAGAGAAATGCAGCAGATCTTGAGTTGAGCTTGGTCTGGGAGCAGTGGCTGTAATTCCCTGTGTGTCTTCTGTGAGACTCGAAGTCCCTTTGAGTCCTCATCCCAGGACCAGGTAACAATCTCAACCTATACATCCATGTTGCATCAGCTTTAGCGTTTTGTATTTTGATGCCTGAGAGATGAGGGCATCCATAAGGGTTAAGTCAAGTTGCAAGGCACTGCCTAATTTTTACAGATGGTGTGAGTGCAAGAGCTAACCTCAGACTGGCTTGGCAGTGCACAGAGATAACTTTACATAATTCCCTACAGATGTTGCTGCAGAATGGTTTTAATAATGAATTGTGAAGTTGAGCTAAACTCCAGCATAGAGAGAGAACTCAATAAATGTAATGTTTTCTTCTGTGCTTCAAAAGAAGTCTTCTAACAGTTTCTGTGATGCTCAGGGTTGGGAAAGATGGCAGCGGAGGGACAATGAATAGTTTGCTCTACTATAGCCCTGACTCTTTTGCAAGCAAAGGTCAATCTGGCAAATTTATCTGCAGTTCATGAGCCCTCTGAACTTGGGCAAAAAAAGTATTTGGGGGGGGGGGGGGGGGAACAAACGACAGCTCCCCTAATATTTTTAATGAGGAGTTGGTACCCAGGAGCATGCAGAGCAAGTCCTCCGCTATCAGCTGGGCAGAGAGTTGTTTTCTGGAGCGTGTGGTTGTCATGCATAGGCTGCCTTGAGGAACTTGTCTGTGTTTCAGCCATTTTCTTCTAAGAGACTGTCAGTTCCTGCACTATGCTGTAACTTGCTTAGATGTACCATCATAATTCAGGCTTTCAGCTCGTCAGGAATGAGCTGCCCCCCACGAGGGCTGCTCAGCTGCTCCACGAACTTGCATGTCTCACTTGTGAGCATCCATTTGGACTTCACTTCTCGTGGGGGGTTGCTGCTGTGACTTCTGCAGGCTTCTCAATTGCCCAGGTTATCCATATGGAACCTTTTTATTTTATTAGTCCCCCTCCCTCTGCTTTCGTGTGGACATGTTACTTCTGTGAGCTGCATTAAAGCTCCTCTTGTCCTTCTGAGAAACAAGCTCAAAATGGAGAAGAGAATTTCAGTGTTGAGGCAGGTTTTCTCTAAACCTGGGCAGCCACTGCTGATTTATTGGTAACTGCAGAAGGTTTTTTGTCTGTATTTTACCTTGCATATAGTTTATTTATAAAATCTTCAGGAAAAAAATAATAATTTGAGTTCTGTGGCAAGTAAGAACTTCACCTTAGTGATGTCATGAGGAATAGAAACAGTTTAAGACTGCCCTTGCAGTGGGCAGGCTTCGCAACAGTGGAAGGGATTGAATTAGACTTGACTCCATAACTGACCCCAAATATGGGAACCTATTGGGAACTTATTAATGATATTAGCCAAGTCTTGAGGTGTCTCTGCAGTGGCCTTCCAGGGGCTGGGGATGGCAGTAGTATGGGGGGATGCATATGTGTTTGTGGCCACCTGGGGGCTGAGGGGTTGCTTTTTAACAGGGAGCTCCATTTGGAGGGACGCTTAGCTACAATATGAGCCCAAATACAAGAACTTAAATTCAGCTTTGAGGCAATGGTGCATCTAAGTAACCTAAACCAGTGGAAATGTATTATGAAGTGGGCTGGCACAGGCTACTGTCAAGGCCTGAGAGATTCACCCCTCCAAAGACAAAGTTTTACCATGGCTTGAAGGTGGCCCAAGTGCCTATTTTAAGAGTAGGGAAGTCTTTTGTGCAATTGTGTTTATGTAAACTCTTCCCCAGAAAGAAATTAAACTATTCCAGTCTAATTGGTATCAGCTGAAAGCCAGCTTCTGACATTTTGTGCCTAATTATGAGTGTATGTTGAACTGGGTTTGCTACCCATGTTGATGCCTTACTGCTAAAAGTAGGAACTTCCATAAAGATGGTCTGGCAGATTCTGTGCGTTCACTGCTGTGGGCTTCATGGCAGGAGAATCCACCGCCTGCTGAGGAGGAATAACTAAATTTAAACTTTCCAACCATGAGCCTCGTGAAGCAAAGTTTCCAAGTCTCTACTAGGCCAGAAAATGGAAAGCTGTGTCTGAGTTTTGGGAGTAAATAAATAGTGCTACCTAGCAGCTGTGCTGCAGCTAGCGAGGGGGTTTGGTACTTGTGGCACATTATCTGCAGGCTCTAGGAAGGAAGAGGAGGGCTTATAACTACTGTCCTTCTCCTAAAATCTTCTGTGACAGGATTTGGAACAAACATAGGTGACTTAAAATGAATACATGAGCAGTGTTTCAGATGGTTGGTTTCTTTCAAGAAAGTGGCATGTTGCATGGCTGGCAGCCATGGGGCCTTGTGCCTCCTTCCTTCCTTCCTTCCTTCCATGTGTTAGACCTGGGGCTGCTGCATCTGGCTGGAGAAGGGCTGGGGGCTTGTGAAACAAGTTTGCCTTCTCCCACTGCCATGTGTTTGTGTGGGGAGGCTCAGATGTTCAGGGAACATCTCCTGTGAAAATTGATGCTTCCATCATGGTCACTAAAGTCTGTAAACTGCTTTGAGGTGCCTGTGCAGAAATAGCTGTGTGGGTGATTTTTTTTTTTTTTTTTAAAGAATACCCCTTGGGAAGCTGTAAGAAACTCCTATTAAACAGTATTTTGCACTATACTGAAATTAATGTGCATTTTGGTGGAGACGAGATTATAGAAATCCATGGAAATGTTTTTGCCTGTTTGACTTTTTATTATATGGCTTTTTTATTTATTATTTTATTATATGGCTGTTTGGCTTTTTATTATATCTTAACTCTATCTTTACCTAAATGGAGCAGAATCTGTTTTTGTTAAGAGTTGAGAGCCAAAGGCTCTCTTGGGTGAGAGACTCTACATGAAACCTAATGAAGATTCAGTAAATCAATGCAGCCAAATACGCAGAGAGATGAGGATAGTTATGACTGGGATGCATTTAACCTAAAAATGGCTCACCTGTAGTCTTATGTATCCATCTATAGATGCGACCTAAAAGATGTCTTGGCATTAGCTATTGGTAATTGTTAACACTTCCGTAGATGTGGGTAGAAACATGGATGTTAAGGTGGGAAGGTAAATAACTGATGTTTATGGTCTAAAGTCATACTTCAGTTGGTTTGTGTCTCTTCCTGTTTCTGATCTGTACAGTGCTCTATAGCTTCCCAAGCTACTTAATTTGGGTTATATTTGATAACCACTGGTGTGTGTGTGTGTGTGTGTTTTTTTTTTTTTGAGGTGGCAAGCACTCTGGAACCATTCATTGTTTTATATCCTATTCTGAAGTTTGTGCCCTTAGACCAGAGTCTTTCTAACTTCCATCTTTTGACTTCTGTGATGGCTTGTAGTAGATTTGTGCAACGTTTGTCTCCTTCATTTCCCAGCTACACATGCATATACATGCATGCAGAGTGCTTCAGTACTATAGATACATATGTTGTAAGACTTGTTTTAAGGATTGAATTGGAGAACTCAAATCATAGATTTGGCACGGGTGGGCTTCAGGGATATTAAACTAAACTGATGCTTGCTCCACTGCAGTCTTTTCTGTATGTGGCCTTTCCACTCATCTGCCATTATATGAGTATCTGATAGTTATGGTGTAAGAGGACTAAATATCCTCCGCTTCCAGGAGGCTACAGAGTAATTCCAGTCTGCACCAAAGTTGCTGTTTCTGTGCCTGTTTCTCAGTAGCATCCTACTATTCGTGTTTTTCTCACTGTTGTCTGAGCAACTTTTCCTGCTTCCTCCCCTTGCAGGCTGGTGGTTTGTGAGCACAGCAGAGGAGCAGGGCTGGGTCCCTGCTACGTACCTGGAATCCCAGAATGGAACCAGAGACGATTCTGACATCAACACATCAAAAATAGGGGAAGGTATGGAAGGCTTTTTCTCGTCAAGAGGAAATTGGTGTTAGCTCACTTCTATTTCCCATAGGAAAAAAGACTACTTTGAAAACTGCTACTACTGCTTGTGGCTGCTATTTGGTGCAGTGTACATTTCTGCTATCTTGTATCAGTAAATTGTTTCTGAAGAAATGGGGATGAGGTACCATGCCTGTGATCCATTTGTAACTAGCTTGAGCTGACAGTGTAACAAGGGGTTCAAAAGCCTAAATGATGCTCACTTTAATACAGTTAAGCAGAAATATCAAGCAGCTTGTACACAAGACTTTTACAGTCCAAGCAGCACGTTCTTCTTGGACTTGTCCTGCCATTGAAGGAGAGAACTTGCCTATCTTATTTGTAGAAATCACAGAAGCAAGAGCTTTTGAGTTGAAGAGGATGCTTTTTAGACCCACGAGACTGCTAAAGTTGAATCTTGCTCCTTTTAATGGTGGTGTCTCATTGCAATTTTTTTGGCTTATTACTTGAAGCTAGTTTCATTGTTATTTCCCACAGTCTGCGATTGTGTGGAAAAGTAACTTTAATAGAATGAGACCACACCAAATAAAACTTGAGATGTCATTTGTCATGTGTATGTATTTAGCTGCACTGTTTTTTCTCTAAAGATGTTTAATTCAGGTTCTAGAAATGGAATAGTACGACCTCACGTATTCCTCTGTTCCATTATGAAAGCCTAACCACATCTTAATGGGCTTCTCATGTAGCAACTGTGTACAAAGGACACTTAGTATAACTTGCTCCATTCTAATGAATCTCTTACTAAATTTCTAGGTGCTCTTGGTGTGACTTTTATGTGAAATGGATGTGGAAACAGCCAACCTTCCTTAGCACAGATACAAGGTTGAGAGATGTGTTGGGGTGACTGGTCTGCCCATTAGGAAAGCACATAGGCAAAACATAACTGTGCTGTGCCCCAAGGGTGACATCTGTGGCTTATTCAAATCTTTGGCTCTGTAACTCATTTTTCCCTGCTCAAAGCTATCCTGGGTCACTTAGGGTTTAGAAACTGACTGTGGACTGGTAGGCAGGGAACAAGTCTGGTATGATGCAACATCTTAGTGGATACAAAAGCAGTTAGTAAAGTGTCCTTGTTAGGAAAGGCCGAAAACTTACCGTTGTCTTCTGAAAGAGTTCAAGGATGCCTTATATGTTGGTCTGTAACTTCCTCCTCTTTTTTTGACTCTTAAATATGGTGCATGTTTGGACAACCTTATTGTCTAACCCACTCTGATTTCAAGCTTTCCTCCTCCTTTCATGTTGCCCTCTGGAATTTACTTTGCACAGAGTTGTTGCCACAGAGCACTCTGTCTGGGTAATGAAAAACCCATCAAATGTTTCTTATCTCTTCTCTGCATCCCCTCTAGTCTGTTGCACTGCTGTCATGAGCAGTGCTCAGCAGTCATGTTCCCAGCTTTACTCCACATCCAGATATGCTGAAGCTTGAGACTCTTCTTTCCTTTTTGTTTAGTTCCATTCCAGTGGCAAATCTTAACTACATTACTTCTGCAGTTGCTTTGATGTGCCCCAGCTTTCACTCTGTTTTCAGTAGCTTTGTTTTATGCTGTTAAACTCATAATCTGAGGCCCCCCCCACCCCTTTCTTCTTGTTCTTCTGTATTTAGGCTATTCTTCTCCTTGCCACATAGTGGAATGGCCTCAGACTCCTATTAGGAGGAGAGAAGGACTTCCATAAGAGGAAAGAACAATTCAAATTTTCTCTTGTAGAAAAGACAAATCTGTAAAAGTGAACATGATCGTATATGGTATAGCAGAGCTTACACAAACAATGTACTTGCCCCTTTCTCCTGCATACTGAGAAGGAGTTCCAGTATAACCAAAGAGAAAAGCACTTTCAGTGGATGAAGTACTTTAGCCCTTTAACGTGTGGAGTTCATAAAATAAAATTTTCAAAACAACTCCTGTGGATGTTCTCCTGCATCTGTGACGTCTGTGCTCTGCCTGCTTTGAAAGGATAGAAACACCAGTGTAGGGAGTTTTCCATATCAGCCTCTCAGCCCATTTGCAGAGGACAGAGCTTATTGCACCATAAGCTAGGCAGGCTTCTGGTTGCATCTGGTATGGCAGGTCCTTGTAAAGATAAGGAGATGCTAAATGCAAATAACGCTGTACCTATGTAACGCCAATTTCCATGGGTCTTATTTGTCCATCTCCCTGAGAAAGACAAGAGTTTCCTCCCTGCACTTGAGCCTGCTCAGTTATTCCTAGGGCTAAAGATATACAGATGACTACTACCTGCACCTGTGTTTAGAGCAACACTCTCTTAGGAAGCTTGGAAACACTCCAAAAGTGATCTAAGGAAACATTTGCAGCCACAGGAGCCATTAAAGCAAACATCTTAAAACGCTCCCTTGAAGGGATTAGACACTAGTTGATAAATGACTCTTTTGACTAACTGTGGCATGATCAGTACAGCTCAAGTCTGGGATCAAATAGCAGATTTCAGCATTGAGAGGAAAAAACTGATCCAGATCAGAAGACCTCTGTGGTATAAGGGGGTTGTTGCTGGGGGTAGTCATGTTGTGTGCAGAGGAGCCATACCTCTGGTGCGGTGGATCTGTGTGACCCACTGTCGGAGACATGAGTAAATTCAGAGGGATGCTCCCAAAAGGCTGAATCCTCCGTGCTCCCAGTGCGAGTGAAGAGCTCTGGGTCACTGATCTCAGTTGAAACTTGAAAGGGGAAAAAAAAAAAAAAATCTCCTTCCCCCAAGCCTTTCAGGTAGACATCTTTCTTCTCCCCCTTCTTTTGGGTAGAAACTTCCTAAGACAGTCCTGTCCTTTCTCAGCCTTACGGTGAATTTAGCTTTAGCTTCAGTCTCTGCTGCAATCATATGTCTACTGGTGCTCTGTGTTGCCTCTCATATGTGTAACTGGCAGTCTAATGTCATGTTGATTTGGAGAAAGTTAGCAGTTTAAACCAATGGGCAAGAAAAAACGAGCAGAAAGAAGTGAAGACAGCTAATCGCTTGTGCGGCCTTTGTGTTGACATGGGCTGCTTAGTAAGCCCAAGAAGGTCGCTATGTTCTTTTGGCCGAAAACAGTGATCCACGAATGTAGTGATCTGAAATTCCAGCTCCACTGAAAAGTAGTGGTTCTTCTGTACTACTTGGTTAAAACTAAGCAATTTTAACTCTCATATCAGCTAAATATAATTAGGCCTTCTAGCAAGGCTTGGAAACCAACCGCCCCTTTTTAACAGAGACCCTCCCTTAGAAAAGAAATCAGGCTTGGAGCTCTGACCTCTCTGCGCTACTGCGCACTTTTCTTTTTGGTGGTTTTCATCATGTGGGATCAAAGGAAAAATAGAAGGTACCAAAACTAGATATCTGAGTAAGTTCAGCATCAGTCATAGCTCCTCCACTTAGGGTGACTAGGGAAGGTTTAGGCTTTACAGCAAAGGAGGAATTTGAGGAGGAGAGTGAGCCGGGTGCAGAAGTTTGGCCTAAGCCCCTGAGAGATATGAAGACCAAAAAGCCACCAGTTGTGCGCTTTTTTTCCTCCTTTCCTTAATCTAGTCCTTCCCCAAGCAAATCATTTGCCTGAGCCTGGTCATCTACAGAGCATAGTCCTGGAAGACGGGTGCCAGCTTTCAAGAGTATGAGGGCATATTCTGAAAATGGCTGCACATAAGCAGAATTAATATCATCACAATATCTGAGTTTATCAACAGCTTTCCCAGCATCAGTAACAGAACTGTTGTGTTTGCGCTCTAGCTGTTGTGGAAGTATGATATCTTGTAGTATTTTATGGCAGCACCAAGGACCTTTGCAGTAGCTGCTAAACTAGTGTGGAAGCCTTTGAGTAAAAGTATTTGTCTGTCTTTTGGTTCCAGTCCAATGGTTACTGTGTCATTCACACCTCCACAAGCAGAAGGAGGAGCTGAAGGACAGTTTCACATCTGTGATCTGGAAAACAATTAGTGTCCTCTGTGCACAGCTACTCTGACAATGCCATTTCCATAAGTGTCTTGTCTTTGTTTATATTTTAAGCACAAATTATTGTTTCAGTGTGAAACTAATTCTCAGTGTTGGCATGTTAGCTTCTTGAGCTGGTTCAATAAGAGCAAGGTTAGGTTTTTCCAATCTATTAGAAGTTGAAGTTGGGATCATGAGTATTAGCTGTGGCAGTGATTCTCTGGCAAACCTTGGAAACAAGGAGACAGACCTTTCTCACTTGGGTTCAGTTTGAGTGTTGCCATTAAAAATGAACCCACACAAGAGAAGCTGCCTTTTCTTATTAGTACTATTTTTTTAATTCCTGGATTTCACTTGTAGTGTGATAACTTTCTTAGAAGGTTAGAGACCTGTTGTGCTAGCTGTATGTATGCAATAAAATGAATTCTCCAAAGATCCTGCAGTCTAGGTAGGAGATGCAACAACAATATTGATCTGTCCTGCCACCACAGCATCCATGAACATGGTTTCCTTAGCTGTAGGGTGGTGGTTGGTGGTGGCTTTTAAGAGATGATAGCAAGGATCAGCTTCTCAAGCTCAAGAAGCTAACTTGTTCTACCATACTATATAAACTAACCAAAGTTTCTGCATTTCACCTAACCTGTTCCTGCTAACAAGACCAGTGCTTGTAATTGTCATATTTTGTTTTTTATTCCTCAACCTTCCATCTTTTTTTTTCTTTTATGTTTCCATCCATGTTCCAAACTAGTCTCTAAGCGACGCAAGGCTCACCTGAGGCGCCTGGACCGGCGATGGACGCTGGGCGGGATAGTCAACAGGCAGCAGAGTCGAGGTGAATAGCTTCCTGTGGCATGGGCCCCTTATGGGCACAAAGGCTGAGCTGCTGCTTGGGTTGCTGAGTGTGCCAGGGGTGGTGCATCTGCCCTCCTTGGGTTTTGGATTTTGGTTACTCTGACAGGGAGAGGCTGAACTCCAGAGTCTGAGTTCATGCCTCAAAGCTTGAAGGGTGTCTTGGTTAGACACCCGAGAAGCTGGAGGCCAGTGACCATGTGTAGTTCTGCAGTCTGGCTCCTCATACAGCTTGGCGATGCTCACATCTGTTATGTTTTAGCTTTGGGGAACATCTGTACTCAGTCTTTCCTACCTCAGAAAGAACAAGTGATACTTTCAGGGCTATTAAAATGAGAAGATGCTGAAGAGCCATGGTCAGAGATGTGCGTACTGGAAAAGTGCTTGGTGTGGAAAGATGAGAATCGTTCCAGTTTCATCTTCTCTCTTCCTTACAAGCAATGCTTGATACTAAAGATAGACTTCTGCAAAAGCTTTGGGAGCTTTTGATGTGAGTCAGGTGTTTAAAATACCACCATTAGCAGCATCTTTTTGGCTTTGCTCATGTGACAGGTAGCATTTAAAAAAAAAAAAAAAACTGTGTTTCAAAGCTGCATTTGGGCAAAGTTTGAGGAATATTTCAAAACAAGTGCTTCTCCAATGCATATGACTCATCTTTCCAGGAGCAAAAATACCCTTTTCTATTCTCTTCCCCCTTCCTTCAGGATCATGCAGACTTGGTGTTGAATGCCCTTTAAAGGAGAGGGGAGGAAAAAAAGAAACCCCACCACTTGTTCCTTACTGTAACTTTCAGGTAACCTTACTGAGGGGATGGAACTGAAGAAAAGCACAAATAAAGCTACCCAGTTAAGGAAAAAGGTGGCTTTTTCTCAGAAGACGGGAGTGTGTACTTAAAGTTGCAAATTTATGTTCTCCTGGATTTGGCAGCTGTTCTGTGTACAGACCCATACAGATATCAAGCACATAGGGCTTTTCAAGGATGACTTTTGCTCTTCAGAATTTCATGGGAAGGGGGGGGGGGCAAAATCACCAGTGATGTATTCCTCCTGCTGTGGCTTCACCCTGCAGCAACCAAAACTACACTGAGAAGACAAGAACTCTCTTCTCGGCCGCAGAATATACCCTGAAGCAAAAAAGCCCCAAAGGCCCTGTGCGGACCCTAAGCACGCGTGCTGGCTTGCGAACTTGTAGTGCTGTATCCCAAGAGTTTGGGAACTAGCTATTTTGAATGTACAGCCCTTCACCAGTTACTTCCTGACAGTGTGAGAGAGATCCTGGGAGTAATGGAGTTGTCAAAGCCCTTGTTTTACTGGTTTAAACACGCATTTTCTTTCCTATTCATATCCTGTTGTAAACAAAGGTCCATTTAAAAATTCAGGCTGCAGGATCGGTTCCTTTAGACTGGTAAGACTCAAGGACCTAAGTTGCATTCCCTGCTCTTTCTTCTCCAGAGTGATCAATTCCTGCATTCTTATTCCTGTTTTCTGTCCATGTCTTCTCCAGTTGCTGTGACCAGAGAAGGTAGATCTTCCCTGGCAGTCTTCCCCACTACAGGCTCTTCCACCTTTGCCTTTCTCCATAGCAGTTGCCCAAGCAATGCTGGGTGTTGGAGCCTGTTGGAGAACCTGTGCTTCATCTCAGACTAGATCCTAGCACTTGAACTTGGTGCAGCCTGCACCATCTCAAAGGTTAGAGGCATCCTCTGTGACTGAGCTGCTTGTATGAGCTTTCCCCAATGCCTTTCAGCCACAGTTAACCAGGTAAGCTATACCTAAGTGGTTTAATGCTAACTGAAGTAAGTTAGGGAGCCCTTACAGAAGTTTGATAGGAAGTAGAGGAAAAAGTGGTTTGAATACTACAGGATAGGCTGGAGATGGTAGCTTCATCTGGTATAGCTGCAGCCTGTACTGACATCTACCCCTCCAGAACTGCAAGTGTAAAGAGGAGAAGTATGAGTCTCTCTGGGTGTCCAGCCTGCTGCTATCTAACAGATCATAGTTTATGTGAGGTCAGGAGAAATTCTCTCTCCCTTTTTTCCCTCCCCTCCCAGCCCAAAAGGCTTCTAACAAGGCCAAATTTGGGTGGGTTTGCACAGAAATGACAGAACGCACAAAGTGCACACGCACCCCCTGCCAACCTTTGCGTCCCTGCTCCAAAGCGTTGAAGAGCTAGGGTTGCTCACATATGAGGTTGCCAGAATTGCTTCACACAGGCAAAACAGCATCCCCTCCCCCACTTGGCCTCTTTCTTGGAAATAAATTCAGCTTGACATTTTGGCTAAAATTCCTCCCACCCAGCGATATTCTGCTTGACATAGACCCTGCTCTTGGAAAGGCTAGCTCCAAGAGTTCATTGGAGTTTAAAGGCAAGCTCTAAAGGATGTTACCCTTTATGCTTGGGTACCAACCAGGTCTGTGATAGAATTGCTTAAAAACTAGAATTGAAGTAATTGAAGATGGGTCTGAAGGCCAGGATGTCCCAAGTGACTGAATCTTGACTGTCTCAGCTCCTGCACACTGAACTTGGGCTGCTCTCCCACACGTTGCACAAACAGGTGCTTGCTTCCCCCTTCCTAAAAGCAGGGTCTGAGTCCAGTATGGCATCTGGAGCCAACTGGGATGCATCTTGGCCATGTCCTGGTTATGTGGTGCAGCTGTACCCTCTTTAGCTCAAACAGCAAATTCTGTGCCATTCAGGAGTAATGATGTATCTGTTTTTCTCAGCAGTATCTCCTGCCCTGTGACTGCAGCAAAGCTCAGGCACCACAGTTCTATGTGTTTGGATGATGAAAATACTGGGAAAGCCTGAGTGCAGAAGGGAAGGATGCCTGTTTCCTTGGAAAAGACTACTTAATGGAGGGAGAAGTATCAAGGTTAAGATATGGGCAGTTTACTGGCGTGAGACTTTATCCTTTCCAAGGCCAATTTCAGATATTTGGGAGCGATGTTATTGGGGCTGTAAATAAGAGCAATGAAAGACACCTTGTTGAATATCTTGGTAGTGGTCTTTTTAAAGCTGAAAAAATCTGCAAAGAGAACAGCTGTAGTCTCTTTTTATAAAGAGAAACAGATGACACTTGTTGCTGAACTTTTCTCTTTAAAATTGTCCGTGGTGTGCCCAGATCTAAGATTACATTGGTTTGTTCCTTGTGTAGCTGCAGAGCTTGTTTTGTGTATGTGGTTTTTAAAGTGTCACTTGTGGTAAATTTTCTAAACTCTTGTCTATACGTTATCAAACTCAAATAATGGAAATACAGATTGAGAAGCAGCTTGACTTTTTGTAAGTTTTCTTCAGTACTGACCTTTATTAGAGACTTGCAAGCTACACAGAGCTAATGTTCTCTTGCACAGGGTAAAATGCTATTTCTGCAAACACTTGCTTGGAATTTCCCCGTGAAGAGGGTTTAGGATGGTTTACAGGCTAATTTCATGAGAAGTCATTTGTGCTGTTACAGTTTGATTGGGAAAAGTAGGGGTTTAACATGCTTATTTTGTATGCCAAATATTTGACATAAGTTGTTATTGCTGCTTTGGTTTCATGCCCAATAGTCTCAGCTGGAGCTGGGGTAATGCAGGGAAGTATTTCAAATTAACTCATAGCAGCGATATAGCAACACATGGGCTGAAGTTCTGCCGAATGAGCCTGTTGTTGCTGAGTAGCAGCTAGCTCAGGAAATGAGTTGTTCAGTGAAAAAGCTGCACCAAAATCATAGCTTGGAAGCAATAGGTCCTCTTCCTGCTCCTCCAGCTTAAGGAGTGAGGGAACCTGCTGGGGGAAAGGGATGGGAAGTAGAGGGAAGGCAGCAGCGTAACCCAGTGAACTGATCGTTGGCCTTGAACCCCATTTCCTAGTTTGGGCCACTTATTCTATAGCCAGTTTTCCATCTTTGGAAAGAAATTGTTAAATAGGGTGGCGATCTGGACTGGTTGGCACGCTTGTGCATTGCTACCCTTTTCTGCGTCCTTCCAGTGCCACTCGCCCTCTTTGGCAGGCCCTGCAGAACTTTACCGACAGGAGTTCTCCCTTTATTTTTTTCTTTTTCCCTTCTTGTCTTTGCAGCTTATGAAACATCTGTCACTCGCAGCATAAGGCTGCTCTGCAGTACTAAATCCATTCGACACAGAGCAGCTTCAGACTTCGTTTGTTCTTTGCTTCTTTTTTTTCTTTTTCTCCCTATGCTGCAAGGAAAGTAATAAATCTTTATTACTCCTTGCTGGTTGAAGAAAGAGCATGTGCTGTATGGAGTAGTTTAGAAATATCATTGCTATCATTTTCTATCTGTTGGCATTACATTTCCTGTTTTTAAAAAAAAAAAAAAAAAAAAAATGGGTTGAGGGGGCGGGTGGGATGACAAAGGCTGAGGAGCTCCTGCCTGGAGAGGAACAGGTTTGATAACTGTGGATAGCCTTTTTTCTGTGTTGAATATTCAGACAAGTAAAACAAAGTCCATGTTGAATTAATGCATTGCTTTCTGGAACAGAGAGACTTTTTCCAGAAGCAAGTCGGACAACGGGGAGGGTGGAGGGCGAGCACAGACTGCTGACTGCAGGGAAAGAATTTTGAAAGAAAATTCTTCTGTGGTTTGGAAGATGTAGGACTGGGGCTGTTGCATTTTGCTGAGAAATCGTTAATTGGCTAATTTCTAGCCCAACTCCCTCCTCTGCCACCCCTCAGCTTTTCAAATGAGGCTCAGGTCACAGCAAGTTGGAGGTACATACAAACACCAGCTGAGCAAAGGAAATTATTCCTTACTTGGTTGGCTCCTAAAGTGTAGGAGATAACTTACACACATTATGGAGACAGGAAGGACCAAACTTAGATAGGTGAGGGAGGGGTATGCGAAACTGTGTTCAGACCTTGGAAGCAGCATCGTATGAGCTCTGGCCACGTGCCTGGTAGCGATGAGGCTGATTAGGCAGGGCTGGAAATGTGCGTGGTATCTGAGCTGCCTAAACGCAAGAATCCTGTCCAAAATAGTTTACA